TAACTTTCAGCAGAGTGTTGTAGTCTGCATGTGGTTTCTGTGGCCTATTTAGAGTTGCTTTAACTGCCACTGGTTTCAAGTTCAAAGTAGACAATTCTGCTTCCAAGATGGACCAAAAGGGATCTCCTTTTGGTTCATCTTGGAAGCAGAAGCATTTGATTTTTCCAACTGCTCGAGTTAAACTGAAAAAACAGAGTGCCTTCGCTAACCAACTTTGATCTGCTAGAGCTGATAGGACACTGCTCATGCTCGGACTGTCCTTTTTTTTAAAAAAGCTGATTTTGATATAGAACACTCTGTAGCTGTAGGTTTAAGTTTCCATCGGACGCAGAATCTGTATCGCGTGCTGAAGCGGCAGGGAGGTGCGAGGGCATCAGTAGTGTATTCGCCAGTAGAGCCACTCCTTTTTTCGCTTAGTGATATGAGATCGACGGTGTTGCACTAGAAATTGCGAAAGTGAGCCCGGTTCAGTGCGGCTCCGTCCGGTGCCGACTGTTAGGGCTTTTGAGACGTGCTTCGATAACAGTCCTGAAGCGAACTACGATTGAGCCACAGGTTAGGAAGATAGTTAAATGCAGTGCTGATTTCAGGTTCAGTTGCTGGAAAGTGGTTCAGTCAGAAGCTCGAGGGTGAACTGACGGAGTCGCACTCTTCAATATGACATTTCTCAGGTTGATTGATTTTCCTCCTCTGAGGTTTCTGTATAACGTGCAGCACGCATTTCTTGTAAGCCACCTCTCTTTCTCATCCGTTTTGCACGTTTGGATCATGTAGAAGACGCCAAAATGCTCCCTTGCCGTGCATTCCCTGGGCATATCAAAAGATGCATTTCATAGTTGGAGATCCATGGCAGTAAGCAGCATCCAGAATGTTTTTTAGTAACCGCTCCTTCCTCCCCTCCCCACCTCAAACGTACACACACACATCCTGCATCAAAAGGGTGCCAGAATTATTTGTAGCAAGAAATACGAAAAGATGAGTCAAGTGCTAAATTTCAGTTTGAGGAGCGCAAAATTTACAAGGAATTGCAAAATTTAGCTAAGCGATACAATATTCAGACGAAGTGAGATAAAATTTGGCTGCGGAGCACAAAACTTAGCCAATGGAGCATCCAGCCTCGAAGCACAAAATTTGCTGTCAACAGCATAATATTTTGCCAAGTTGTAGACACTATGCTTAACTTAGCCAGAATGAATGCAAAATTAAACAATAATAAAATAAATTTTATTTAAAAAAAAATGGGAGATTTAGCTCGGAAAACATCATTCAGGTGAGGCAGCTGAAACTAATTCTGTGGTTCTGGAGTGAAAATTGGTGCTGATACGCCACACTTGTGGAAATGATCACTCCAGGCATACGCATGTTACTTTTCCTTGATTGCGCACCATGGCGGCATTCGTCTGTGCGGCTTTCGCAGCATCATGCTGGGTGCTGCTACCACGTGGGCGACGAAAATTTTTACAGCTTTTGAAATGTAAGTTTTTAGAAATGTGTTGAAGCTGACCTCACTGAGACGCGCTTGTCCAAAGCGCAGCATTTGCACAGAGGCAGAAATCAGTGAGCAGGATGATCAGTTCAACATAATCTCGAAATCGTACGGTATTCAAAGCGTATCGCCTGGAGCACATCGTGTACTGTTGATTTATCCGCGAATACGACGTGGCCGGTTTTTTGATGTCAATCCCGCAAAAGCGAAGCAACGCTTAGAGGAAGCTGTTGCACTCGTCAATACCTTACCAAAATTCACTGTCATACAGTAAGTAATTTTCGATTCACTGTCGCTTTTATCTTTTGCAGGAACTGTGCAACTTGTGTGATAGGGCCCGGGTGCGTGTCTTCAATTTAGACTTAGTGCTGGCGAAACGATAACATGCATTTACCATTTAATTTGCCTGCATTGCTATGCATCAGCGTGTTAAACTCACTTCTCAGACTATATTCGGAAGCGATAAGCATTAAAAGTTTATCACATGTTCAATCGGCACCTTCTGCCTAAGGGACCACTCCGGCCATATGCAGATAGTGCATGGAATTTTGACTGCTATACGCGCATTTTTTTTGTTATCGTCTGAGCCTTGTTGCTGGCTTCTTATGTACATATGTGTAATTGAAATGATGAGCTAAAAATTTTTTTACAAAATGCCATTTGTCTTTTCGAGTCGGTTGCACTGGATGCAGTGCGACTTGTCCACTCCACTCATTTCTCGTCTAACAAAAGCTGAATCGCCCATTTCACTTCAAGGGCTCTGTGTGTATGGGTTAGCAGCAGACTGTAGCAGCTCGTAGTAGCAAAGACTGGAAATGACTAACATCAAGAGCGTGCTGTGCTTGGATTAGTTGTGTTTTGAATTATTTGAGAACAACTGCTGTGAGTACCGACACTTCCACGGCAAAGAAACGCCTTTGGGGCATAGGACGCATCGAACGAGTGATTGCTTTGAAAGAAAAAATTGGTGCTACTGCCCTGATGATCGATGTTGATATATTATCGCCAAAACAGCAAGTAAGTTTTGTCGTCGCAAAAAGATTAATATCTTTTTTGATTATGGCATACTCGCACTGTCTGTTTTTTTTTTTTTTTTTTTTCTTTTTATGCATTTTGAGCTGTATAACAGCAGAACAGAACGCATATTGTCACGGGATAGTCTGTGTGTGTGTGTTTGTGTCCGCAGCAACTTGTCCGCAACTTTTAACTCGGGAGCCACAAAAGCTAAGAAACTGAAGTTTAGGGGATCGTTCTCCACCCGTGTGTGACCCCGCAAATTTAAATTCAGTCTCCCCGTATCCGCGGGTAACACATAAGGTCCCATAAAAGTTTGGGCGGGTAAAATTATCTCTGGGACCACGGAAGCTAGAAGGCTGAAATTTTGTGGGCGTGTCCCCTGCCCACGTGCTATACAGAAAATTTAAATTCAGTTTTCCCCTGCTCGTGGGTAACATGTATGGCCCCGTAAAAGTTCTGGCGGGTAAAATTTCTATCGCGAGAACCACAAAAACTAGAAGGCTGAAATTTTGTGGGCATCCCTGCCCAAATGCGACTCAGAAAACTGAAATTCAGCCGCGGGTAAAATGTGCGGCCCCGTAAAATTTTTGGCGGGTAAATTATTATCTCAGGAACCATAGAATCTGCGAATCCGAAATTTTAGGATAATGATCCCCTGCCCACGCTCAACCTTGTGTATTCAAATTCAGCGTTCCCACGCTCTCGGGTGTCACCTACGTCCCGTGAAAATTTTGACAGGTAAATTATTATCTCGGGAACCGCGGAAGATAGGAAGCTGAAATTTTATGGGCATTTTCCTTGCCCACGCGCGACCTAGAAAATTTAAATTAAGCCTTTCCGTGCCCGCAGGTACCATAAAGGCCAGAAGACTGAAATTTCACAGCAATGTGTTCTGTCCACATGTAACTCTGCAATTTTAAATTCAGCCTTTCTGTGCGTCCGAGTATCACTTGCAGTCCCGTATAAGTTTCAGCGGGGAAAATTATTATCTCGAGGACCGCGGGAGTTGGGAATCTGAAGTTTTAGGGTGATCTCCTCTACCAGTGTACGACCTCACGGATTTGGATTCAACCTTCACGCACCCCTGGGCACCACGCACGGCCCCGTAAAAGTTTTGATAAAGGAATTATTATCTCATATGCGTGAAATTTTTAGTGGGAAGTTCCGCAACTTAAGAATCAAACAACATTTCAACAATTTTTGCACAGACCAAGGTGCAAAGCAGTGAAAATCATTAGCAGGCAATCGTTCGGTGGATGGAATTGCACAAAACGCATGATCGCACCGGCTACGGTGGTGTGCGCCGCTAATTTTTTTTTTTTTTTTGTTTTCCGTGGCGTACCCACATAATTTTAGTTCGACTTGCTTCTTTAGCTATGAATCTAAGTATGCTAAGTTGTATGTGTTCGCACCACTTCTCTCGTGGATATATATTTTACCAGTATCATTTGAATTTAATCAAAAATCCTTCCTGGAAGTCCGTACACGTGCTGCGTAGGTGTGTGTATACATGCCCCTTCAGAGTTGCGTTTGATGCGAACGCGACTGGCAGTGATATTTTCGCTTTCAGGCAGAATTGTTCGCACTGTTTCGCGTACCCATCTACGATCGTTACAATATTGTACTGCTCATTTTTAAATTATTCGCCAAGACAAAAGAGGCCAGATTGCAAATTCAACTTGCTGAAATTCCCTACATAAGGCAGTTTTTATGCGTTTTTTGCAGCTGTGCAATGAGGAAAACGCATGTCGACGAGAGATTGTCTGTGTGTGTCCCCGTCCGCATAAATCTCAATGAGCTCAGAACCATACTTCTAGTATGCGTGGTACCCATGTATAGACCCGTCAAATTTTTTTTTCGAGTAAGTCGCTAACTCGAGAATTTGAAAAGCTAGGAGAATGTAATTTTAAGAGGATATTCCCCGTCCACCTAAGTCTCACTGAGCTCAAACCCAGACTTCGGGCATGCGTGGTACCCACGTGCGGGCCCGCCAAAATTTTCCTCCGACAAAGCTGCTAACTGGCGAACTAGAAAAGTTAAAAAGCTGAAATTTTAAAGGGATGTTCCCCGTCCGCGTAAGTCTCATTGAGCTCAAACCCAGGTTCCGGGTATGCGTGGTACCCACGTACGGGCCCACCAAGATTTTTTTCGGATAAGTTGCTAACTCGAGAATTCGAAAAGCTAGAAGACTGTAATTTTAAGAGGATATTCCCCTTCCACCTAAGTCTCATTGAGCTCAAACTCAGACTTCGGGTATGCAGGTTACCGAAGTACTGGCCGGTCAAAATTTTCGGGTAAGTTGATATATCGGGGACCTAAGAAACTAGAAGACCGGAATTTTGAAGAGATTTTTCCTGACAGTCCTGACGGCCAGTCTGAAATTCTTTTAGCTAGAAGCATCTGCCGGAAAAAACAGTGCCGATAGCGACAAATATCTGTGCAAAAACGCATCTTCGCACGGGCAGCCCGTACGTTGGCCAATTATTATACATTTTCGTTAGAATTTAAAGTTTGACTTGCGTTTTTGTATAAGTCAAAAAAAAAAAACATTATAGCACGACCGTATTTGTCTGCCTGTCCAATACGTTGATTAATTCTCAGACTACGTAAGCTGGAAAAGCTAATTTTTTTAGGTGTTCAGCCTTTCATAAGTTTCTTACTGTATCCGTTACACGCTGGAAGATTCGTGTATTTTTTTACAGTTTTTAAAGGATACCGAAATTCCGATGCAGCGGTATCTGGATCACACTAGCAGGCAACTGCGAGGCTTTTCTTGTCAGTAATTGTTTATATTTGTTTTCTCTGCAGGCAGCGATTACTGAGTATGTATGAGCTGCATGCAAGTCCAACTGCTTTCCATGTGGATGCGCCAACGAAGTCCAAGTATGTGCGCATTTTGCATTTTCATGCTAGATTTTTGCAAACAACTGGAACATCGTATTTTTTTGAAGCTTTATGAGTTTCTTGTTCCCCTGGCCACTTTCGGCTCATAAAATCAAAATGGCTCAATGTGTTCGTTTGCCACCTAGTCACTATGCATTATAATATGCACGGCAGAGGACATAGTTATAAGCAGTGTTTTTAAAAGCATACAGTTTAGAATTTCTTACGGTTTATCAATGCAGTATCGCTCTGTCACTCACATGCTAGAACTCAAGAAAATTGTCCCTTTCACTATTTGTTGATTAGTTTCAGTTCCAAACAAGCATGTCCACAGTTCTATAAGCTTCTGCTTCAGTGCCGTCTTAAGGTAGTCCGCAAAGAAGGAAATCATTAATAGTCTTTCACTTGGAGCGTTTATTGATAGTTGCTTCTGGAAGAACCTTTTACGCGTGGACCGCAGTATAAAACTCAGTCTATGATTTGAAAAAAAAAGTAATTGGCCAGCGCACCGACTGCCGGAGCGAAGATGCGTTTTTTGCATAGTCCGGCAGGTGCTCTTAGATAAAAGAATTGAGACTTACCTCCGGGGCTGTCAGGGAACATCCCCTTAAAATTTCAGCTTTCTAGCTTTTCTGGTTCCTGAGTTAACTGTTTACCCGCCAAAAACTTTGGCAGATCCGCACATGGGAACCACGTGAGTGAGAGCGCCCATTTTGAGGATGGGGCCCGCATCTTCATGTAGATTAACTTCGCAAAGTTTCAGTCTTGTAGCTTTTTTAGGTTTGACGATGAAAAGTCGGTATAGACGAACGCACAGACACACATACGCACAAACAACCCCTTGACATTATGCGTTTTCGCATTGCGTAGGTGCAAAGAAAACGCATAAAAAACAGGCTAACTGAATACTTGATAGGGGTTCGGTAGGAAAAGATAAACCTGTCAAAACATTGAAATTGTAAGAGCGAGTCGCAGAGCCAACTACTAAAACACAGATCAGTTAGGTTGGGAAGCTAGTTGTAATGATTGGGGGCGGAAAGTTGGGGCTGGAGGCGGGTGATGCATTACACCCCGGGGTCGTAACGGAGCGGAACGGGCTGGGCTATTAACTGGAAAGTATTTGAAATCTTGGAAGAAAGAGTGGGGCTCCTATAGGTTTTTAGCTCCTACAGGTTTTTATGCCCACATGAACTTGTTGATGAAGGTGAGTTAGCAATCTTGAAAGCAATACTTGGGACATTAGCCATGCAAAAGTCCGGGTAACACGATTCCCGCAACTTGAACTCAAGCCCAAAAACGGGTGCATTTTAAGCGACTAACTTCCCCTCAGCACCAAAATTTCATGCCGAGCACAAAAAACCCATTGAGGCATCTGCACCCATAAACTCCCTCCTACTCCCAATTTCTGCCTCCAGACAAGGTCGCAGCTCCTTTCCGGTCACTCATTCCCGACTTTCACTCCCCTGCTCTCCTGCCTCCGCCAATATACCTCCATCTCTCGTCGTTATCACTTGCTTTCCATCGGCCTGAGCCAGACAGAGGCGTGACATTGAGCTTTGTTTGCAGCTGTTACACAGCACAAAATGCATAAAAACCCATCATCAATAAGGAACTTTCCCTGTTTATGACGATAATGTTTAGGTAAAGCTGAGGGCGAGTAAGATCGATTGGAACCTTTTTACTGACAAAGACAATACGTTGGAATTTTTGTGTAAGCCGTTTGTAGCATCCATTTTAGATCTGTTTGACCTTGCTCGTCCTCAGTTTCATCTAGGCCTGATCGTCATAGAACGTCATAAGCGAGTGGAAAGTGTCGTAGAAGAACCTTTACTGACGATGGTTTTTTGTACGACAGTTTCCACTCGCGTAGGTTGAGTTTTGCTCTCATTCACTGTTAATTTACCGTCCTTTGTGATACTGCGTTGTCCCTATTCATCTTTACTCTTGTTTTCAACTCTTACCTCCAAGTTCCTGACTAGTATCCTCGCTTCCATTCGCTGCCCTGTGCCCCTAATCCTTCTCGTTGAAAACCTCCTAGCTTCAGCAGAACCCTCCCTTTGTCGGTAACAGTATCCCAGCTCCCACCCCGTCACCAGTTCCTGCCTCCAGAACAACGTCCCTGCTCCTCTCAGCCCCCCTATAACCGTGTTCAATAGGGAACCTAATGACAGGATTTTGTGGGACAGCTTCACTTAAGCATCAGTTTCATAAATATGAAAGTCTGACGACGTGTTTTATGGGACAACTTTGCCTAAACGTCAGTTTCATAAAAGGGGAAGTCCCCTACTGATGACGAGTTTTTACTGATCAGTTTCCACTAGCAAAACCTCAGTTTCTTTTGCTTTATTGATAAAGTCAGATTTGCTTTAATTTACTTTTATTTGTGGCGCTATGTTGTCTTTTTCCCTTCACTACTACCTCCAACTCTTGCCTCCAGTTCCTGACTTGCATTCTGGTTCCCCTTTTTTACCTTGTCCCAAATCCTGCTAGTAAACACGATATAGACCCTTCTCCATCCCTACTATAACATCACTGTTCAGGCGAACAGTATTTACCTTTCCATACCCCCAGGTATCTACGGTAAAAACCAGGAGCACACTTTCTCATCCTTCCCGTTCTTCACCGCTCCCCTCTCCGCTCCAAATGTACGTTACATAGTCAACTATCCGGTCCTTATATCCATTTGGTCCTTATATTCACCTATCCTAGCCCTCCTCCCCTGCCTCGAACGAAACCTGCCATATATAACCCCCACTTCCATCTGCCACATTCGAACTGCCGCCATCCGCTGTGGGGCAGCCCTACTAACCGTCGGGAAAAAATTTTTTTTGCGACTTTTTTTTATTTATGAGACGAGCCGAGCGGAGTTATTGTAATTGCCCCGTTTTAGCAGTTGCCAATGGAGACGGTGGCAGGCGCAAATTTTGCAAGATGCAAGTGGTTTGAGTTTGAATGATTTTCAAAAATTCTCAGAGCTGTTAAACTGGAAGTCCTTCGATTTCGTGAACAACATTTGCGAAAATGCATAAAAGCAGCTGTGGATGAGAAAGCGGCTACGAGGTTCGGTGAAGCTCAGAAGAATATACGTACTGTGGTTGCTGTCGTTGGGTACACGAATGCAGGCAAAAGCTCACTTATCAAGAGGTTACATTTGGGACTTCATTTTCAGAGGTACTGATTTTTGTGACGTGACGCCCTGCGGATAGATAAGGGATGTACTTGGATAAAAGGATACTGGGATCGATTGCCATCATCATCTTGATATCTCTTTTAATGTGTTTTTGCCGTGCAGCGCTAGAGTGCTGCAGCAGGCAGCAAAAACGCATATTGCAACGATCCTGTCAGTGTGTGCGTGTGTATGTTTGTTCGTCTGTCCGGGTGTTTCAACTCGCGAACCACACAAGCTTTGAAACTGAAATTTTGCCAGTGTGCTCCCCAGCCAGGTGCCACCCGAGGACCGCGGCATCAACTCTCGCGCGTGTCTGGGCCCCATGTACGAGCACATGAAAGTTTTGGCGGGAAAATTGCTAACTCGGTAACGAGAAAAGCTAGAAAGCTGAAACCATAGGGGAATGTTTCCTACCCGTGTATGACAAAAAGATTTCAAATTCAGCTGCCCAGGACTGCCCCGGGCTTACGTACGGGCGCGTGAAAATTATGGTGGGAAAATTCATAACTCGAGAATCAGAAAAGCTAGAAAGTTGAAACTTTGAAAAAGTGTTCCCTACTCACGTATGACCAAAAGCTTTCAAACTCATCTTCTTAGGACCGGCCGGGGCTCACGTACGGCCATGTGAAAATTTTGGCGCGAAAATCACTAACCCGGGAACGAGAAAAGCTAGAAAGTTGAAACTTTAGGGGAATGTCCCCTACTCATGTACGTGCAAAATCAAGTGTTTAGAAGCGCCCGGGGCACACATATGGGCGCGTAGAAATTTGGCGCGAAAAACATTAACCCGGAAGCGAAAAAAGCTAGAAAGCTGAAACTTTAGGACAATGTCCCCTACTCATGTGTGACCAAAAGATTTCAAATTCAGCTCTTTAAAACCGTCCGGTGCTCACGTACGGACTCGTGAAAATTTTCGTGAGAAAACTGCTAACTCGGGAACAAGGAAAGCTGAAGGCTTTAATTTTAAGGGAATGCCAAATTTAACTCTTCTAGTGGGGCCTTTTTCGCAAACCACCAACTTTCTGTTTGTCGGGTCACTGAAGTCGACATCTACAACTGACATTCCACATAGCTGCACAATTAATTTTCCGGACTTCGAGGGTAGCTACTGTGATTCCTTGCGATCTTGCTACGGTACGAAAAGTGCAAAAACGCAAAATCGCACCGGCCCGCCTGGTGCGTTCCAGCCTGGGTTTCCCTACTTTTCTGCTTCTGCACAGCTCTGTGTTGTTCATCCGAAGTAAGTATGCGTGTCTAGGAACTCAGCGGACTGATCCTTGAATTCCATTTAGGATTGGGAAGAAAACATGTTGTTCATGCGCTTAATTTTGCCTCTACGATTTTTAATTATGCGTTTTCGCATATATGCAAATGCGAAAACGCATATTTGCGACGAACCCGTTGTTCGTGTGTGTGTGTGTGTGTATGTCTGTCCGTCTGTGTGTCTGTCTGTCTTTCTCTCTGTCCGGGTATTTCAACTCGGCATCCAAGCAAGCTCCCGCGCCAAAATTTTGCGAGTGGGTTCCCCGGCTAAATGCCACCCCAGGACCGCGCCGCGGTACCAGTCCTCATGCGCGTCCAGGCCTCGCGTGCGAGCGCCTCAAAGTTGTGGCGGAAAAATCGCTAATTTGGGAAACAGAAAAGCTAGAAAGCTGAAATTTTGGGATTATGTTCCCCTCCGTATAGAACTCGAAGATTTTAAATCCAGCCTCCAGGTGTGCACGTTTCCCGCGTACGGCCCCGTGAAGGTTCCTGGCGCGAAAATCGCTAGCTCGGGAACCAAGAAAACTGGAGGGGCTGAAATTTTCAATGAATCTTCCCAGTTCATCTACAACTTAAATTTATCAAATTCAGTCCCTCGTTGTGCAGGTTATCACGTAGGGCCCGTGAAAATTTTTGGCGGAAAAATAGATAACTCCGGAACCAGGGAAGCCGGGAGGCTGAAACTTTCAGGAAATGTTCCCAACTCGTCGACAACTTCAATTTATCAAATCCAGCCCCCAGTCATGCATGGTTGCCACGGACGGCCCCGTGAAATTTTTTGACTGGAATTTGGATAACTCGGGAACTGAGAAAGCTGGGAGCCTGGGATTTCAAGGGGATGTTCCCTGTCCAAGTATAGCGTGGACAGTTAACTTTCCGAAATTCGAGGACCAGTGTGTCAGAGGTTTCTAGCTAGCGGAATTTCGAGTGATCTTATTACTGCACGAAACACTGCAAAAACGC